CCAGCAAGAAGATCCCCGCTGCTGACTGTGAACGTGAACACAGTCCAGCGAACGTGACTCGTGTGTTCTCTCGCCCCCCAGAACTTCCCTTCCGTAGCTCAAGAGAGCACCCTCCACCCCATCTGCTCGCTGTGTCCTGTAACCTGTGCTCGCGCTGCAGTTCTTTGGGCTCCATATTTTCTTTCTTCCCCTCCAGATCTAGCTGACTTGCAAAGCTAAGTTTGTGATTATGAAATAAAAACTAAAAAAAGTAAAAAAAAAAAAAGAAAAAAAAGATTTTAATTAAAAAAGAAAAATCAGATGGAGACTTAAGGGGACACAAGTCAGAGTGAGGAAGAGCACAGCCTCAGGACAAGGCCATAGGAAAGAGGGGCCCACCTTGGCCCACCTTGCAGGGGGCAGACCAGATGGGCTCTGGGACAGCCTGTCTACATGTCCCCTGTCTGCCCCCCTTTTATTTTATTTTTTCTTTAGAGATTTTTGCTATAGGGCACATATCTATATAGACAGAGCCAGAGAGGCAGAAAGCAAGAAATCATCCCCCCCCGGAGGATGGGGGGGGATGGCCATGCTGCAATCCCTTCTCCTCTCAAAATTTCAGGCATACACACAAACACTCCTGGTGTGAGTTTTAAGCCACCGGATCCAGGACTCAAACCACAGTCAACTACGTGGGAGTCCAGTGATGTAATCATTAGGCCACCTGCTGGTCCCACCCCTGCCCTTTCTTAACCCCCTTCCCAGCACACAGGCCACCCAACACCTGTGTGCAGGAAAACAGGAGCCAAAAGGGCAGTCCTAAACAGACCCAATTCTCTGTGGCCTGGAGGCTAAGGTGACTAGATCCCACATGGCCGATTGCAGGGTTCAAGTCTGGACCTCAAGGCTTGAAAACCATGCTGGGCCTGTGTGTGTGTGTGTGTGTGTGTGTGTGTGTGTGTGTGTACCCAAAATCACCAAAAGAGGACGCAATGGAAGCGGGATTATAGCCGTCATGCGCAATGGGGTGGTGCTCTCTCACGTTCTGTGGCCCCACCCATCCCCAACCCCATCAAGTGCACACATCTGCTAGAAGATTTTAAAATAATCAAATAAAAAAGATTCCACTCTCTGACAACCTGAGGTACTAACTAGGGCTGACGCTAGCAGATGAATCGAAACAAAACAAAACATGGCCTCCCCTAACCTGTACTTGCGGCAAAGGGGAAGGCAGCAGGAAGAGGGGCCCTGAACTCTCTCCCAGGCCACCTGTGAGGCCAGCCTGTCAGCAAGCACCGCCCCCAGTCACAAAGCTCCCATTCATGCTTCCAAGCACGGCAGCGGCCTGGCAGGAAAACAGTGCAACATGTAGAACCGGAAGCGTTCCCGCGTTCCCTACAGATGCCAGCCTTGGCCCTCACTGAGGGCAGCCAAGAATCATCAGACAGAACAGGCACCAGCGCTGAGCAGGACGCGACCGAAGTCAACAGCCAATTCAGGACCCAGTCAAGGTGCAATAGCTGTATTTGCCCGTTACGTCTCTTTGGTCTCTCTCTCTCTCTTTTTAATTTTGGTTTTCATTATATATATACATATATATATATGTGTGTGTATATACACACACAATTTATTATTTTGTTTTGTTTGGTTTCAGATTTTTGCCATAGAGCATGTGTGCTCCCTGGAGAAATAAACTGAGAGGGGAAGTGAGAAATCGCCCTCCCAAAGGAGACGGTCACGCTGCAATCCCTTCTCCTCCATTCTCCTCTCAGGAGATAACAGTCACAGGGTCTAGGAAGCAGGATGTGGGTATCTTTTGGAAGGGAGCATTATTCAACCTACCACAGAGACCATCCACAAATGACACATGCCCTCACATATCCACCCGATTCCACAAATCAGGCGGAGGGCTGACCATGGCCTAGTGATTAAGAGAGCCAAATCCCACATGGCCTGCTATTTTTTTTTTTTTATAGGGGTTTTTGCTATAGGGCGTGTGCACTCGCCAGAAAGACAGAGAGAGACAGAGAGACAGAAAGCGAGCAATCAGACCCCCCCCACCACCACCACCGCCAGGGGGTCACTCCACAATCCCTTCTCCTCCATTCTCCTCTCGGGATCTTGGACACACACGCACACACACCCAGCGTGAGTTTAAGCCACCGGGTCTGGGACATGAACCATGGTCGACTACATGCGAGTCAAACAACATAGCCATTACGCTAACTGCTGGTCCCCCTGGCCTGCGATGTTTCAAGCTGCCAGGTCCAGGACTCAAACCTTAGTCAACCACATGGGAGTTCAGCACCTTAACCACCATGCCACCTGCTGACCTCATATGTTATCTTTTTAAAGTCTTGGCCATTTATCTTGTGGCCCTCATTCTCAATACTTGATTGTTTCCTCGTTATTAAATTTGGGTCCCCAGGTGGTGATGCAGTGGTAATGCATTGGATCAATGCATACCTGGTGCATGTACATGCCCATGTCCAAAGTAGCTGAAGCTGGGAATGGATTGTGGTGTGGGCACCCTGTTGGGGGTGTCTCTCTTTCTCTGTCTCTCTGTGAAGAAATAAGTGAATGAATTTTTCTTTCTTTAGTTTTCAATAGCGCATGTGCACTCCCCAGAGAGAAAGAGAGAGAGAGAGAGAAAGAAAGTGAGAGAGAGAAAGAGAGAAAGTGTCCCTTCTCGTCTCTGGATCACGCATACTGGTGCAATTTTCAAGTCACTGGGTCCAGGACTCGAGCTGCTCAGTTAGCCATGTGGGATCCAGCCACCCTAATCACCACGCCATGGGCTTGCCCGCGAATAAAGTTTTTTAAAAATAGATTCAACACTTGGTTTTTTCTTACAGTAATTCTGCATAGAATTTTTTACATCACATCAAGAGACAGTCGATGTCAGATTGTCCCATTCTTGAGAATACTGTTTTTTTTTGTTTGTTTGTTGGTTTGTTTGGAGACGTTTTCGCTATAGGGCGCATACGCTCGCCAGATAGAGAGAGACATAGAGACAGAAAGCGAGAAATCACCCCCCAGGGGGGATGGTCACGCCGTAATCCCTTCTCCTCCATTCTCCTCTCGGGATCCTGGGCACGCACGCACACACACCCGGCGTGAGTTCTAAGCCACCGGGTCCGGGACGCGAACCGCGGTCGACTACGTGGGAGTCCAGCAACATAGCCATTACGCTAACTGCTGGTTCCCAAGAATACTGTTCAATCACAAGGTTGAGAGGGTATCTTCCAGACCTCCAACACCCCACGGCATAGGTACAGTACAGTCTTTCGCCTTTGTAATGACTTAGTCATGTATTGGACGATGATTTTGGCCTGTTACTCCAGTAACCTTTTAACAATATTTTAGCATCCTCCGAGGACCCAATTATTTCACGGGGGACCCCCTGTGTTTTCTCCTAATTTATCTGTAATAAACAGATATTATCTGTAGAGGTAAATTGTCTAGTGCCTGGACAAGTAGGTAGTCTATGTCGTCTGCATCTGATACTCAGCAGGTACTTAATAATGGTATCAATTTAAAAAAATCATCCCAGCAGCAGGCACCCTCTGATCTGCAAACCTAGTTTCCTCATAAATTAGACTCCCAAACCCTTCAAGCACAGAGTCCTGCCTGAACTAACATCAGGCTATTTATAACCTCGGTTCCCTCAAGTGTGTGTTCCTTTTCACACACGCTTTGAAACAAACATCACGTGACCCTGCACGACGGTCCCCTCCCCGCTGGGGATCCAGCAGAACACTGTGGATGGTTTCTGCACTATATCACTCTAATGGCCCAACATTCCAGAATCCAAAAACACATGGAGTCCTAAGTCTTCCAGCTAAGGAACTGTGTGTGGGTTTGTACTCAACACGCTAGCAAGAATACCATACTTTTTCAAGCCACAGCAGGAAATGTTGCGCAAGGCAGTTGGCACCAAGAGGGTAACGCTGACTCTGAGCCGGGCACTGCGGTGGACACTGCCCGTGCAACTCAGGCCATCCTCAGCATGGCGCTGGGGCACCTCACTGAGGCCTCTAGGGGTGGGGGCCTGGGGAATGTGGGTTCTAACCCTCTTTTGCTGTGTAATCCTCGTACAAACGACTTGGACTACGTGAATAGACTGTATTTTGGGGTTTTATTTTCTCAGGAGAGAGAGGTGAGCATGCCGAGATGAGAGAGAGAGATGCCACGTGCCAGATAGGAGCGAGTGGAACGCAATGGCGATTTACTGGTGTGTGGGAGGCCTGGCGTTCAGGACACTGGCTCTGGGGTGCCTCCTATCAGTGGCCCCATCCTTACTGATACCAAACTTCCAGGATCACTCAGTCGTCTACAACATGTATGTGGGTCCTAAATTAAGAGAATACAGGTCTGCTGTGGTCGCAATAAAGTGTGAGTGAGTGTGTGTGTGTGTGTGTGTGTGTCAGGGGGTTTAGTTTAAGAAAACGCCAGGGCTTAGGAGAATCTACCCCTGGGAGGCTCTGTAAATACGAGCAAAGTCCCCCTGGCTAGGGCTTTTTATCCAAGTGTTTCAAACCAGGCCAGGGTGGGAGTCACAGCAAAGCCATTCGCTGGCCGCGGACGGTGCGTGATCCCACAGAGGTTATGGATGGCGGAGGCGGCTTTCGGAAGGAGGCTGGAATAAGGCGGCCGGAATAAGGAGGCAGGATATGGGTGGGAGTGGGGAACTAGGACCAACCCCAAGCGAGAGCCTCTTGGGGAGGTGGAACTCGCCCAGACTAGCTGGAGCCCGGAGCGTGCGCCAAGGGCCCCAGGTCTCAGTTCGTAGTTAACCACCAGCCCGGAGCCTGAGCAAAGACAGCTCAGGGGCGGAGCCCCAGGTCTGGGAGCTCGAGGCCTGGCGCCCCGCCGCCAGCAGCCGGGCAGTGCGGGTGGGGCCGCGGCCCTTCTCGATCCCCGACCCGCCCCGCCCTACATCCC